TCCTGTAAATATCTAAAGCGCTGCCTACATTAACCAGCCCCAGACTCAGCTTGAACCAGTGTATTTCATAGCAGCATTACTGGCATCTTTACCTCTCAACATTTAACTTATGTGAAATATTCCTCATTTTGTAGTGGCAAGGATTAAACAAAGATTTAATCAGAACCATAAATCTGTGCTTTATCATCAGCATGGAACTTAAAAAAACATGGTTGGGTCTTTAAGCAGATAACCACTTGGATATGACTTCTTACTTTTCTACATCTGCTTGAACTCTTGAGATTATGACCTCAAATGCAGCTGAATTTTTACTGTTTGTTTTCCAAGCATGCTGATAATCATGAACAGCACAGTGAGTGACAATGGAGTCACGTACACATACATATGTCACACTACAGTTTTATTCTCTCTCATAAATATTGAAATCTACATGAGTATAACTTTACTGAGGCTAAGCAAATCATCCTAATTGGTGCAGAAGCTTTAAATGCATGTATGTTTTTAGAGATTTTTAATGTATTTGCAACTCTCCACAGATGCAAAATTGAATAAAGTTCTTCAAGAAACAGGCCAGGCCATTTATTTCAATTAGAAATAGTAATGAAACTCCAGTAAACTATTAAATGTCACTTAATCTATATTTGAGATAAATAGAATACTTAATTTCTCTTGGCATGTTCCACAATGAGGTACCGTACTTGTCTTTGTATTGACAAATTTGGTGCTCCTCTGCTTTCCCTACCACAGTGACATTTAGTGACACTACTCCTGCTCAAACCCACATGGGCATAATCCATTTTGCAACAAGCTCATAAAGGCAAGAAATATCTCCGTATGGAGGTAAAGGTTCTGCTTCCTCTGCTCTGGCTAGTGCAGGGGGGCTGCTCATTTTGGTTTCCTTCTGTCATCAGTTCATCCCCCAAAACTTCTAAACGGCAAAGCAATATTAATGGTATGTCTACACTGGGCCTAATTAAATTCCTAATCAAGGGCAGAATTACAGCCATCAAGAATAACTTTTTAAAGCAGCTAGATGTTTTGAGATGGCACAGATGTTTCACTTGACTCCGAGATGTACCACAGGTTCTTGTTTGAAGGGCATTCAGGCCCATCACCTCCACAAGAAGTTTCTTGGAGACTTCTAAGATGTCTTTTTCTATAAAAATTCTAAGGCTATCAGCCAGCAACAGCAGGCATGAAACTAAAATAGAAGGCTTTGAGAGTTAAGGAGCATTACCAACATGGAACAAAAACCTGACTTCTGCAGAGTTCTCCTCAGTTACAGTTATATTCCTTGGTTTATACCTGAAAAATATATTTGATGCAATTTGAGGAGGTAAGGCCTTGTTCTAATTCTCCATGGAAATAATCAAGATGTGGCTTGTGATAATTCTCCATGTCTGAAGTCACCCGCATGCATGGCTTCAATTCAAAGTTTGCACGTCTTTAAGAGAATTATATTAAGCTCTGTTAAGTAGTTTTTAGTCATTTCTGCTGACTGTAATCAAACTAAGTTATACTAAAATTTACCATGCCTCATCACTCTCTACAACTACTTGAAAGGACACTGTAGAGAGGTTGGTGCTGGTCTCTTCTCACAGGTAATTAACAATAGAACGAGAGGGAACGGCTTCAAGCTCCAACAGGGGAGGTTTAGATTGAACATTAGGAAGGAATTCTTCACAGAGAGAGTGGTTGGGCATTGGAACAGGCTGCCCAGGGAGGTGGTTGAGTCACCGTCCCTGGCTGTGTTTAAGGGACGTTTAGATGGGGTACTGAGGGATATGGTGTAGGGGAGGACTTTGTAGAGTAGGGTAGATGGTTGGACTCGATGATCCCAAGGGTCTCTTCTAACCTGAATGATTCTATGATGATTCTATGATGATTCTATGATGCCAGTGCTTTTCTATCTTTCCTACTCTGGTGTTTCATCCTTCATCTGAAAAGACAGCAACAACACTGGAAGGGCAGCACAAGGATGCTTTTAACATCTCCACATCTACACCCAATACTCACTTTTGATCTTGTGATGTATCTACAGCTCAGGCAGCTGGGAAAAGGCTATAAACAAGACAGAGGAGCAGCACTTCCACTTCTCAGGGAAGTTTTCAAATAAAACTCTAAAACTGCCTGAGAACTACATAAATGAACACATGAAGTAGTCTTGGGGAAGCAAGTAAAATGCATATACATGTAGATTCATAGAATGGTATAGCTTGGAAGGGACTGTAAAGATCACCTTGTTCCAACCCCCCTGCCAACACCTCCCATTAGACCAGGTTGCTCATATATACATACACACCCAAGCATGCTCCTCTAATCATAGATACTAATTTCCATTCATAGATATTAAGAGGAAAAGATGATGGCATTCTCCATGTAAGTCATGGAGGGAAGTGAAAGGCTAATTAGCAGCTCAGCAGCACCGGAAATGCAAATGGATGTCAAATAGGTCAGTATCCAGTGCCCTGCTCCAGAATATCCACACGACCATCTGTAGACCGATGGGTAGAAAACGTATACAAAAAACCTAACTCAAACCTCAAGCTGATTCTTTCATCCTGTGCACAGCAGAGAGTACATCCCGGCTTTTTTTTGACATTCAGAAGTCTGTACACTGCATATTCTATATAAAAAGTACAATACAGGTTGCTTAAGTTATATCCACAATTTTCTAAAGTTGGGTGATTTTTTAAGGAGACACTGTTACAATACGGCTCTTTCCCAAATGAAAGAATACAGTATTTCATTTTTCTTGCTCTAAACTACATCCAATGAATAATTCACAGTGACGTGATCTTTCGCTATTCCCTTTAAGCCGTTTTGGAGATGGATTGCTACAGTGGGTGGCATTCAGAGTAACACATGTTGAGCAACACACACTCAAATCTTGCCAGCTTTATGGTTTCTTACAACATGCTATGATGTGAAGTGATTCACACTGAGGAGATGGAGAAAGTTTTTCTATTACTGCAAAAAAAAATTATGTTATATGCATTTATCATCCAAAATAAATACTTTGACACCACAGGCTGAAATAAAACTAGGAAAGTAAGCTTAATTCCTCTTTCTATTTCAAAACATTCATTTAGATTTAAACCAATTAAAGCTGAGTGATGCTTTCCATGTAAGATGAGCTTGCCCTGACAGTTAATCCACACTATTATCAGATCCATCAAATGAAAATAAGGTGAGCTAAAGAAGAAATCAATGCCAAAGATTTGAATTTCCTTGATGTCATATGCTGGCATCTTAGAAAATTTACATTTCCTATGGAGGAGATATAGAAGAGAAAAGGTAGAAGATTCACCTGGTAAGATGGAACTGGTGACTGTGAACATACACAAAAGCAAGACATGAAATGAAGCTATGGAAGTGGGTAACACGATGCAACTACAATGATAAGACAGGATTTCCATAGAAGGTCTTTTATATAAGACCCATAATGGTAGTTTCAGAAGGGTGTCAGTCCAAAGATGTATCACTTCAAAGGGAGGGAGAAAAAATTGTCTTTCCAAAATGATACGGTACCTTTTTGAATATGTTGTACTTAGACTAGATACACATTTGTCCATTGATGCTTTGTTAGATTTGCCTACTGTCCTCTCAGATTTTATACACCGTCTCTGACAATGTCATTAGCCAGATGTTTCAGGAAAAGAGAACAAATAAATATCTCAAACTGTGCTGTACTTGAGAAGTAACTAGTGGCCCGCTATGACCAAGCTGTTAAGTCCTGAAACTTACTGTCCGAGGAGTCTTAGTACCTCCACCTCCACATTGTTATGGTCCTGGTTTGACCTTACATCCAGGTCTTCTACAGCAGATCGTTGATTCTCAATTTTAACTCCTCACATTTTTGTAAACCCAGACCTGCAGACTTCTCCATCACCTTGCTTTTATCCCTCCATAAGCTTCTCAGAGATAAAAAGTACCCACAAGTTGAAGGTCAATCGCAACTGCTCAGTCTTTCTGAAAAATCAGACTTCAAATCATTAAAGAAAATGCAGGCAACTTGGGTCATCAAACAACTTTGAAGCACTTAATTCTGAACTCTGAAGCCACCATGCATCATAATAACTTATTTTCTTTCACACATAATTTTTTCCTCCATGGTATTATCCACTTAATTCCATCATTTTATTTATTCTGCATATGATGTTTTCAGCAGGAAACCTACAGAAAACTTTAGACAAAACAATTTCTATCTTCGAAACCACATTAATCTTACATTTTAACCTTTTCAAAAGATAAGAATTAGGTAAATATTGGAGTTTCATCAAACTGGAATGCGCTCTTCCAAGACCTGCATTTTTCTGGCCCTTCGGTAGACTGCGTGTCCTGGAGATAGACCAACCTATGCTGAAGCGGCTGATGAATAGTTTTGACATTCACCAGTCACTACCATCCTCCACTAAATAAATCCAGGCAACAGAAGGAGCTGTTCCTCCAGCCAGATTACCACTTGCTTCATGAGCCATTGCGCCAACAGAAACTGACACTAAAATACGGCCTTTAACAAAAGATGAGAGAAACCATCACTCTCCAGCACAATGGGAAAGTTTCACAGAAAAGAAAAACAAACAAACAAAACCCCAAACCATGAAGACCGTCCTGTCAATTTCTGGCCTAAAAGAACCGGTTAATGAAACAAAATAGCGGCGAAACCCAAACACAGCACAACCCTGCACCACCCTGTGAGTCCACATCAGCCCAACAAGCCTTGCGGGATCCGACCCGCGTTGGCATCACTCCTCTTCACACCTGGCTGGTGGGAAGTCCTGACCATGTTTCCCTCCAAAAAAGGCCACAGGCAGAGCGGTGACGCTCAGCACCAGCGCATGGACCAGAGCTGGGACCGAGCCCTGCCAGATGGACCCCGCATCTCCAGCTGGCTGGGAGGACTGGTCCAGCTGCCATCACTGCCTCACCACACCTGGGACCACGGCCCCTCCTGAAGGCAGCGGGGGGGGGTCGGGGGGGAGGCAGGACCCTCTTACCTTGTTGGAGTAGGGGGGTTTACTCAGGTTGATGCCGTCGCGGATGAGCTTGTCCCGGATCATGATCTTCAGCTTCAGCCGGGGGTAAGCGGTCAGCCCCCCGCCGCCGGCCGCCCCCCGCCG